ATCTAATAACTTTAATCTCAGCCAAACCGATTTACTCAGGAACAAATAAAACACTGAAAAAAGTCAAACAATAACATTTTTAGGTTATCTGTGTGCCTTATATATCACGTTTAACCTGAGTAGCCGAAGACCGCTGGGGTTTGAAAACAATCTGCCGGGAGTTTACTGTTCTCGCCGGCTTAGATATTTGAAATTTACACAGCTACATTCTCGCCTGAAAATATGCTAAAAGTTTATTTTGCAACCCAGAAAGAGTAATAAGAGTAATGTTAAAACTAAGTAGCTGCCGCCATTGGTGGGGTGGCTGTAGCTCAGGTGGTAGAGCAGGTCATCCACTGATCGGAAGGTTGGTGGTTCGATTCCTGGCTTCCCCTAGTCTATGTGCCAAATATCCTTGGGCAAGATATTAACCCCAAATTGCTCTCCGATGCATCCATCGGAGTGTGAATGTTAGCTATGAAGCACTTAGAAAGATGTGCTTGGGTGAATGCACTAGTTGTGTAAAGCACTTTGAGTGCTCAGATGAGTAGAAAAGCACTATATAAGCCGGTCCATTTACCATTTTTGGAAACTGGAATTGGCTGGGCCGCGCTATGAATTCAGGGATATGGTTTTTCATTTTTGTTTTCATTTTGTTTTGGTGGAAAATCAGGAGAAATTCGGGAGAATGGTGGTTCCGGGAGATTTTCGGGAGGGGCACTAAAATTCGGGATTCTCCCAGTAAAATCGGGAGGGTTGGCACGTATGCCCTGAGAGTCAGCTGACTTCATGAGCTCACCTCTGACCTGTACATGTTCAGATGTTACGGTGACATCGCTGTCTGTTTCTAGTGGACACCGTGTTGGTGCGACACGTCACAGCGGCTCTGCACTCGGGGGGTGGAGCTCAGAGTGACGTTGCAATGAGCAGACAGGAAGTGACCTGCGCTCTGAACAGGATGTTCCACAGCGCATCACAGGATGTGCCATTTCATGTGACTGCAGCAGCTACCGAGGAGACATGCAGTCTGATGTTCAGGTTGTTTGACCGGTCAGTGTACTCACAGTATCACATTACTTGTAGTGCTCATAGTACTAACAGGACTGCACCCAGTCAGAGTAACAATCTGTGTGCGTGTGTGCGTGTGTGTGTGTGTGTGTGTGTGCTGCAGCAGTCAGTCCGATGAAGTTTCAGCTCGCTCTCTTCAAACTGCTCTTATCGCTCTGTCCTCAGATAACCTGCTGCTAAAGTACAGAGGTGAGGACAATACACTGCTCTATAACAGGCCTTCACAATAAAATGCACAGCACTTCACAATAAAATGTACAGCCCTTCACAATAAAATGCACAGCCCTGTAGAATAAAGCTCGGGTGTTTTCAGGTCTGCTGCAGGTCTCGACAACCCCTTCAGGATCCATCAGCAAGCCTGGACTCAGGTGTTTGCTGATGGACCTCATCCAGGTAAAAAGCTCACACTACATTTCCCAACATGCCTCTGCTGCTGCTCTCTGTAACGTGTGTTTTCAGGTTCCTGCGGCAGTTCAGGAGGAAGTCGTGTTTGACGATTTGGAGGCGGCGGTTCAGTCGTGTTTTAAAGGGGTGAGAACGCAAACGCACACCTGGCTGTGATTGGCCATCGTCATGGTTAACATGTTATGTGTGTTTATAGGTGTTGACCCCAACGGTGAGCAAGCATCATCTGTTGTCATGGCTGCAGAGTGAGCCATGCCTGTTGCTATGGTTATCCACTCTGTACCGGCTGTCAGCCAGTCAGAGCGTCCAGCACAACGTTCGCTGTCACATCTGTAAGACCCGCCCCTTCACTGGGCTCAGGTGATGTACATTTTAAACTGGAAACTGGGTAAACACGGTCCAGATGTGTGACGAAGATTTACCTGTGTATTTAGGTATCGATGTATGAAGTGTGTGAACGTCCATGTGTGTCAGAGCTGCTTCCTGACTGACCGCCAGACCAGGAAACACAAAACCCACCATCCAGTGCTCGAGTTCTGCAAGCAGGTAAGAACACACGTAACCGGAAGCACAGGGAACAGAACAGGTATCAGGAAGCACAGAGAACAGAACAGGTATCAGGAAGCACAG